GACTCGAATCACCAGCACACGGCCGAGGCATACATGTGTGCGAACGATGTGCGGTGCACTATAATCTGTATGGAACCGCTCGCCCGGTTCCGGCGGCATGGCGGTTGTAACTGTTCAACAACCATGTCTTGGACTGCGGATTTCATTAGACATTTCTTTAGTACATATATATAACACCTATTTAACCTGATTTATGTACACATGGCATTGTGTTTTTCATTCTGTTTGAATAGCATTGGAAATGAGATAAGAGTGAACTAGCAGTGGGAAGGCGTTATGACCGTGGGGACACGCCGCCGACGCCGGGACATCTGCATCTACGTGACGACGAGTGAGAGGCAGTATCAGTATGACAATCTCATACCAGGGTCAAGTCGCCACTAGCACGTTCGGATGTTTCTGGAAGCTTCTGTTGAGGTAAACCTTATTATAAAGCAAACTCTATGACAAGCCGGCCGTAAAATAACAAGTCGCCTGAAAGGGTAAAGTACAACACAAACGTACAGTACACGTGTGTGGAAATTCCTAACCAGATGTTGGAGTGCATGAAATAACCGATAAGCTTTCCATATCATATATTCATTTTATTCATTCATCATATTCAAGTCATCAATAAAATATACTAAGCTAAACAGTGTGAAATGGTTAAAGTAATTAAATGAAGCAGAAAGCATCCAATATAAGATCATATGTTAGACAAAATCAGGCTACAGTGAGCCAGTACTGGTTGAAGCAACGGTAGCGAAAAATGTGAGACTTCGAAATTGCATCCAGTTAACCCTAATAATTTATGGCATATATACATATAGCTTGCTGCAGCTGCATTGAAGTGTTTCACAGTTTAATGATGATCTCCTTTAGTTTTGTCTTTGCTTGTACAGTTTTGTAAAGCTTGTAGACCCATAAGTCGGTGACTATTGTATGTTTTTTTTTTCAGGTGGCGGGGCAGCTTGTGGCGACTCATATGGAAAGATCTCCTGCTTTTTGCCGTGATGTATGCTGTGATTAGTATAGTGTACAGGCGTGCGTTGGACGACAATCAGAAACGGTGAGAGCCTGATCGAATATAATGTGCATATTTCGAACATTATAACTTCTACATCGCACTTGAATATATAACGTGACAATCAGAAATAGTATGGGCCTGTTAGACTGCCATATTTTAGACATTGCCACTGCTCCCCTTCTACGTGGTACTTGAGTATATCACACGACAATCAGAAACGGTTATACAATATTATGTCCATGTTTTTGACGTCACCACCGCCCTCATGTCTTTGTCGCACTGAAATCGACATGACGCGAAATGCGTCAGCAGTCGCCAGATTTACTCATACCAACCTTTTTCTAAAGTCGATTTGCTACAGCTAAGTTATAGCTTATTGCTACAGCTAAGTTATAGCTTATGCTGCTTATTGCTACAGCTAAGTTAGAGCCTATTACTACAGCTATGCTAAGGTTTACTACTCGCTAACCTAAGCTATACCTTATTGCTACAGGTATTAAGCTATACCTTTTTGCTACAGGTATTAAGCTATACCTTTTTGTTATATATAACTTTCCAAGAGTTTGATCGGAATTATTTCTATTTAACTCTGTATTGGCGTCTTATTTCGTGGTGGAATAATCTTTCTATAATAAATCTAATCGGCATCCTGGGGAAATGTTTAATTTTCAGATCGGATCAATTGTATAGAAAGAAACATTATTGGTAAACACATATTTATCAAACCGTTGTTGTGCTTACATTACAGGAAAACCACGGGCATATTATTGTGGCCGGAAATGGTTTAATATTGTTAATAGTTGCTTGTAATAATTTATATATATATACACATATGCATGTATATATAATAAAAAATACCATGTTTGTAAATTTCATAGTAAATTGCTTCTGTAGCCCCTCCACAACAATGTGGCCAGCGGACAAGATGGCCGCCATTTTTCGGCTGGCTGTGTCTGGTCACGTGTTGAGGGGGGATATGGAAAAAATGGCTGCATCGTTTTGTCACTCATCAGGGAGGCTACTATCTTTTTATATATAAAAAATAAACTCACCCAAACATTAAACACTGTATTGCGTGTATTCCTAATATAGGCAGTATTCCTAGTATAGGCAGTATTCAAGGTGTCAGGTGAGAGGTGGTTACACCCGCACTAACGACTGCACAACATACTCTCCCCCCCTGTGATGAAAACATACGAAATACTCACTTTAACAAACACTTAAAATTATTACCACGTTGGTTTATTGTATACATACATGTTTTGATAAAAATACAAAAAGCACAGATCACGAAGAGAAATTACACGCGGGACCAAGTGGGTCACGAACTGGGAAGAATATTAATAACTGATACACACGAAGACAGCACAAGCACAGCAAGTCTATGTACACTATGCTATCCTGAGATACACCCCGGAAAGCGTCGATTTTTACAATAATTTAAGCAATATACAAAGTGCGAAAACGACGCAACACTGGATATGTTTTTTTCTCAGCTCCGATTCAAGAAAGACTTTAGGTACACAAACGAAAATGCAACGTCCTCCGAGAAATACGCATATAATATATATTTGACATGAATATACACGTTTGATGTTGATGAAATGTGTCATCACTCAATATATATATGAACAGAACAGTAAATCTGTACACGCACAAGCACGCACGCACGCACGCACGCACGCACGCACGCGGCCGTGCACAAACAGCATGTCATAGCACCATAATTTTCTGCGTAATACTGAAAATATATTAAAGCTCTTAATCTTGATTACTATTTTGCGAAATTCACAGGCAATCGTTGTACATACCGTGAAAGTCAAACGAACCGAATTTATAGCGTAACCAATGTTATACGGGTTGACACATTTTTTTCTGAAACGCTTTTAAGCAAAGCAAATTGTTCTTTTACACATTGTTAGACTTCCTGCAGTTGTGGTAGTTGAGTTGTCAATTTATTTGATTTTTTTACTGTATTTTGAAATAGGCGTGTAGATAACATAATATAGAAGTAGATAATAGGGAACTTCCCTATTATCTACTTCTGATAATATGTGGAAGACATTTTTTTCAATGGGTCAGATTTTCATGGCCGAATTTTTTCAGCAATGTAGATCACAAAAGTTCTTGTTATTCCCAACCTTTAAACTAACTTCTTCTCTTTCACACGACGTTATATTCATACTATATTTGTATTCTAAACTGGCCTTAGTATTTTAAGTATTAAATATGACTACATCGCTAGATACTAAGGTAGGGTTTGAGCAATCAAAGTTAAACGGCCTTTGATGTATTTTGTTTGGTTAACGTATCTGTAGGCGTACACTTGAATGTGGATTGTGTACATATAACAAGTGTAAATCAAGGGTTATGGTTGGGGTAAAAGTGCTAAGACTAACGATTTATCCAGTTTAATATTATCAGGAATGTATAATACTAGATAAATACCACTATATTATTATACATTCCTGATATTATCTACCTGTGGCATAGTTCTATCTGTCTAGCCCTCCGCTTCACCACAGGCCTGTTGCATGACATAGGGCTGAAGAGAACTACCTGTTATATTAACTCCATGTGCAAAATTATTGTTGAGCGTATGCTGGCTATACCATTGCATCGTACGTGTATTACAATTCCCATTACCTGTTCTTTTTGTAAAATTCTAAAAGTGAAAGTCAAACACGATGACAGAATTTATTTTAAAAAGGTTGTGCGGCAAGCAAACCTGTCTTGATTCGTTTGAAACAGACATTCGATTGGAAGCGTTCTTCGATCAGTAATGGCGCAGGCGTGACACCACGGAACCGCTGTGAGAAACCTCACAAATATTTACGACACGATACGTCTCAGTTACGTCACACATGTTGCGTGACACTTCACTACACGGGCTGCGACATTTTAGACTGGTGACAGTCACGTCCATATATACGATGGCTCTGACAACGGGTTCTTTGTCACCTTCTCTAGTCACTCTTAGGGGTAGTATTATAAGATGTGATTTAAGAAATTTGTTTATAAGATTTTTTGAAGTGAAACTCATTTAGAATCATTTGCCCATCGATGACCCTGCCTCCCCCTTGCCTCCCTCCCCCTCCTTCTCTCACATAAGCGTTATTCAAGTTAGTATTACCTCAATGAGGAGAGATATGTCATCGTTGAGGTTTTCAGCCTATAATATTATATACACACGCCACTGTATCCACAATTGCACAAACACAATTTCAATAGTACACGAGTCCCCTGCTTGGCAGCCTAGCGCGGCTACAACGATCGCATATGATCCACACAGGCAGCAATATAAAATCAAGAGTCGATAATAAAAAATTATCTAAATAAAAAAAATCTAAATTTCCTATTATGGACTCTTGATAAAATGGAACACATGGTTCCGATACAATTCTGTACAAATTCGCAAACTATGTACACCGGATGTATCGGCAACGCTCGTTCATAACAAGTGCCGTATACACAACAATTATCGATTTCTCCATTTTTCCATTACGGACTCTTGACAACAGGCTACAACATCACTTCACCTCATCGTTTATACGCACAGATTTAAGAGAGAAATTTCGCTCTAATAGATGATTAAAGATTATTTGTCGTTCAAAGATCGGCTTGCTAATGGCGAGGAAACCTTTTTCAGATCCTAAAATTTGTTTAACTTTTTCCATTAACGAACGACATCCGTTGTCGCCGATGGCAATGAAAACGCAGGTGTTCAAGATGGCGCGCCTACGCTCAACAACAATAGCCGCCATGATGTGAAATACTCTCCGCAGAAAAATTCCTCTATCTAAAACAATTTCTAGTACATTTTGACAAGAGAATAGATACCCTGAAGGAACCGAGATGAGACTCTCGTATTCCATCACATGTAGAATTAGAAGAAATCCCAGCGCGGCGCTCGCATCTGTCACTACACAAATTGAATTCCCAGCAGCTTAGTGCGAAGTAACTAAGCGTAGACGCGCCTGATGAAATAACGCGGGAATCTGCCAGGAATCGGATCCGGATTGACACTGACGAGGTTACCACGCGCAGCGGGAGTTCTTTGATTCTATGGATGTTAAACTGTTGTGGGGATCGAGGATTTTCTAAACGCGTGTCTGAATGCGTTTGTTGCGAATTCGGTGGAGATTTTATGAAGCTTACGGCAATAATGGCCCCGCGTAAATGCAGCACATCTGTACAATTGTGACCGACCTCCACACACGCAGTGCAAGCGATCGTACGGTATTTACACACACACGCACGCACGCACACGCGCACGCACGCACACTTGACAATGCTCATTTTAGAGAATGTTCGTTCAGCAGATGCAGAAGTAACAGGAATTGTGGCCAGTCCTGTGAAGACGCGTGAGAGGCAAGGAAAATTTTTTTTTTTTGTTCTGTTTGCCAATCAACAGGGGGGCCATGGCCCCCTTGTGCCCCCCCTTAGCTACGCCAGTGAAAATGTAAATACCAGACTAGCTGCAGTCTGTGTGAAGGTTAGCTTAAAATAACGATAACAGTAAACGTGTCCATCAAGTCTATATATAGACTTGATAGACACGTTTATACTGTTATCGTTATTTTAAGCTATTTTGACTAAAAATATGGATTTTGCCAGAGGTTTTGATGAACAGCACCTTATTAATAATGTATGTTCAATCTTAAACTAACAGTCGTGTTTATCTTCTATGTGAGCGGCGCGGTGAGAGGGGGGGGGTACAAATGTATTCATTGCCTGTCGCTATTAAACACAACCTGCAGGTTTTCTAAACCTCACGCCAACTCCAACCGTCAATTTTCGCTCACGCAATAAAGGCTGCCGAGTTACTGTAACTGCTAAAGGGTCTGTTTTGTCGCGACTCTCTGTAAATTCAGCAGAATTCTGCAAGTTAATTGTGATGACCAAATATCTATAGGTGATTGGTGAGCGCAGGAAATATTTATACATGTTCTAAGGGTCGGGGAATATTCTCACCCAGATTTTCAAATTTAGAAAGTTAACAATCGATTGACCATAAATGCCAAAACTGGTGCTCCCACACCTCATTGGCTCTTTCCAGTTTTGACAGAGATATATGAAAAGTGGAAAATACTCGACGCTATAGAATTGACCAAGCTTCATAAGACCAATCATTTATACCCTAACCCTAACCCTAACTCTAACCCCACTCCATACCTCGCGTGCGCGCGCACACACACACACACACACACACACACACACACACACACACACACACACACACACACACACACACATACACACACACACACATATCCACACGCATGCACTCACGCACGCATACACGCACATACACCCACGCACACACGCGCACACACACATACACGCATGCACGCACGCACACACGCGCACACACTCACGCGCACGCACACATGCACCTACGCGCACACGCGCACACAACACCCACGCACACACGAGCACGCACGCACACATAAACACACATGCACCTACGCGCACACGCCCACACACACACACACACACGCACGCACGCACACCCACCCACACACACACGCGCGCGGC